TGAGGTATGCAGAAACCATTCTGTCTATCTCACATTCTTATTGTCCTTCATCTGATACATTATAGTTTTTGCCTCTTAATACCTGTGGTTCTTCATGTATGTATTTGAATAATTTCACTATCTTTTGTAGAACAAGTTGCTCCATAGTGAATATTAAACCTGGCATTGCTTGATGCATATTTTTTATTTGGTAAGATTGTATGTATCTTGTTTATTCTAATTTGCAAGCGTCTACATATAAATATATGGTAATCCATACACCCATACCACCCTTATGCACAGCAAATAAGGATAGAGAGAGGAGGAAAGGAATGATAAATGATTGAAATTCCTAGGGCAATAACATCATTTCTGTATGTCTTCAATAATTTTATCAGCCATAATTTTGTAAGAAATGAGATTTTGTTATGCTTGTTTAGCTTCTATTTGTTTGGAGGTTAACTGTAATAATTTAACAGAAGTCAGTGTCAAATTTATAAACTAGCGGTAAGGGGTTGTTAGGCATTTGCTTTATATTCAACCCCCAACAAAACCAAAAAAAATGCTCATGTATAACAAAAGTAATTGCACGCTTTTATAGAAGAATTTAGTCCTTTTTTTGTCCATGTGATTTTTTTTTTCTCTTAAAAAGTAAAAACAAGAAACTTTAATATGATAGGCTTCTCACATTTGAAGTTGTTTTATGGCTGTCTGCATGACAAGTAAAGAAAAGAGAGTCGTGCAACAAGGAATGCAAGTCATGGTAACAATGGTAAAGATGGGAGACCCTAGTTTAAAGATGAGACAAAGAGTGATGGAATTAACAGTGATAATCAAGGAGTCTTTTCCCAAAAAAGGATACTTTAAAATCTTTATTCTCTAAATAGAGTAACTTAGATGGCCATCAATTAAATCGTCTATTGACTCATCTTTCAAGTCTTTCCATGCCATTGAATCAGCAAAAGCCAATGGCATTGATTGAAAGGAAGTCTCTGTCTCTACAATAGCCTTGTTCAACTGTTTAATAAGATCATTTTCATCAGTTGGAATGTTCAAATCCCAGACACTGAAGATATCAACAGTCGATGAATTCATCTCAGCTGCAGATGAACTCAATTCAAGTCCCAAATCAATAGCTCCACCCCTACTCTCATCCTTGTTGCATGTAGGCAGGAAATGATTCAGTGGAATCATCCTGAAAAATTGCTTACAGAATACCAGTCCTCCATTTGAGAATACCGTTGGTGTTTGTTTCAGTGTCTCCATTGATTGGAATGACAACAAGATCATCATCAGTTCTTCTTAAGTAATTGACAACCTCTGCCTCCTCAACTGAAGGAACCATCTTAATTGAAATTATTTAAAAAATTGTAAACCCTAATTTGCCGATTAGGAAAAGTGGGGCACTTTTTATATTCTGGATTTGAGAGGACACAGAAAAAGAAGAAGACTTGAATTTAAGAGAATGGATTAAACATGTAGTTTCAACAAGGCAACATGTAAAGAAAAGTAATGATCTCTCAAGGGTTTGGCCAGGGGAGCGAATCAACGAGAAGGGAGAGCTAAGCAATAGGACTTTGAGTTTTGTACTATGGGAAAAGTGTCAAATTTGAGTGCTTTTGTAGAAATGCAAGTGGAACAAAATGCAAGAATATTGTTTTTTTTTTTAAATTGTCTTTTTTTTTTTTGGGAGTACCAATTTGGATATTTTGAGAATAATTTTTGGAAAAAAAAATTGAAACACATGTAAATATAGCTGCAGGGAAGAAAAAGGAAGAAAAGGAATGAAGGAAAGAGATCAGCTGCGGTGGACGAAGACGTTGACATGAAAGTAAGAGGAGTTAAAAGTATCTTTATTTTAGAAAAAAATTTAAAAATTTTCTAATTAAGAAATTAAAGTTGTAAAATGCCTTAGTTGGAGAAAAAAACTTGATAACAAAGGACAACAGTGCAGTAGAAGGGAGAGTCGTGCAATAAAAAAAATTGCTGTTTATAAATGAAAAAAATGATGATGTGACATGAATTACTCTATTTAGGTAAATAAAATTAAAAAGTACCATTATTAAAGAATAAAGATTTTATTTTATCTCGAAGAAAACTCGAAAAAGTATGTCTTACTTATATTTCTCTGTTTTTGTCTTCCCAATAATACCATTCTCTCGGGGTGATGATCTTCCGTGCAAGTATAAACAAAGACCGCCCTAGAAAAAGTGCCCCATGCCCGCCCAAAGTAGAGGGCACCTGACCTAGTGACCTTTCAGTTGACAGAAGAGAAGCCTGTTTCCAATCTCATCTGATCTGTCAGGGCTCCATAGCTACCGGTTATGGCATGCAAAGGGCAATCACTATAGAGGGCAAAGGCCATTTCCAAATATAAAATCTATAGAACCTTCAATGTAGCAGTCTTTGAAGTAGTGTCTGCCAACGTGATCGTAAAGAGTGTCACTGCTTGCTTTCCTAAAGCTCCTGGTGGCGGAGATGGTGCTTTGTTCTGTCGGAAAAGTATTCAAGGTCTATCAAACACAATACATAACTTACCTAAATTTGTCCTCTTCAGTCGAGCAATAGACAGATTAAGAACAACATTGATGAATAACATAGGACGAAGCTACTATTACTTCAAACTGGAAGTTGTTGAGATTGTAATCTAAAGATTCTGGTTGACCTTGAAGGTAATGCTCTTTGCAATGAAACAAAGATAATCAACGGCGAATGTTGCAGAACCATAGGTGGCTAGTGGACGGCCTGTCTGTGCCTAGTGGAAGGCCTGTCTGTGCCATCCTGTCTGCTGTGTCCTCCCATTCAATGACGGTTTTGTTTGCAACAGCACCTAGCTATGGTTTCTTGTTTACTCTTATGATTAAGCAGGGCCTTTATTTGTTCTTTTCTTTTATGAAAAAAGAATGCTGGAAAGAAGACATCTGTTTAACCCAGTTTAAATATTCCTTTTCGATCACCTCAAATTCATGGCTAAGCCTGTTCGAGGTAATCGAAAAACTTGCAACTTCCAACTGCAGGATAAGCATGAATAGCTTCATTATTATCTTGCTAGTTAAAAACAATATCTGTTTAACCCAGAAGAATGAGAAGAAAGTGAGAGGAGATCCCAACTTTCTCCAGTGATTTGCAATTGCCAGTAATGGATAAAGCTACAGGATTTCCTGGAGAATACCTGTGTTTAATACTGTATAAAAATGGAGCTGGCTCAAAAACTTAAGAGAATGACGAAATTGCATTGGTATATCTGGCACGGGATGGGTAGCTGTATCTTTATTGGTTCTTCCTACCAGTCCCTTTAGACCAAGTGGTGACTTTTAGTCCCTGGTGTTTCTTATTGTCTGTTCTTGATTTGCCCGGGCATTTACAAGATACCCGTGTTAATAATTAAGTTACGTATATCATTCCGAACATACTCACCTTCAATTTTCACTGGACATTTACAAGATACCCGACATTAATAATTAAATTACATATATCATTCCGAATGTATTCACCTTCATTTTTCACTTTCATTGACCGTCAATTTCATCTTATATGGCATAATTCAGCAGGTAGAGATTACAATTGTAAAGAATCATATACATGAGATATTATTCATTTTGATTCGAAAATTTTATAGTTTTATCTTATAAAAAATATATCACATATATTGGGTTTAAGTCTCAACTTATATACTATAATTGATTCTCAAAATATTCGAAGTGAGATTGATGTATTATAAACTTCTTTCGTTAAAGTTTGATGTAATCGTTAGGTTCAGTACAAAATATAAATAAAACCACATAATCGTACACATAAAATTATAAAATCAAAATTACATATAATATTAAAATTTTAAAAGTGATTTTTATCATGTAGCACTTAATTTTAGTAAAATTTTAGAAGAAACTCTCATATTGTAATATTTAGTGCTCATCTTACTGATGATCGTTTTTGATATTATTTATGAAGATTTATACTCAATTTATAAAATATTATCTTTTTAATCTTATTTTCTCATGATTTTATCTTACAAAAAATACTTTCATAAATATTAAATTTGAGTCTTAAGTTATATATTATAACAAATGCTTAGAACATCCATTAATATCTAAATTTTCAAAGAACCGAAGCATTTGCTATTTAGAAAGTTTTGTTACGTAACTGTGAATTTCTTGTGCTCGTCATTGCACTCTAAAATTTTGGGTTTTAAAGGAAAATCATGCAGAAAGTAGACAACAGAATGTGGTGGACCATATTTATTTTCTCTTTCTAGTTCTAGCGTGATCTAGCTTGCTAATGAGCTTAAAGAAAGAACAAATTAAACGACATTGTTTTGAGCAGAGGCACGGGAGAAGATGACAAGAGGATACACATTTCTTTAAGCTCTAATCCACCTTATTTGTGGAGGACAGACAATGCCTTTTGGTTTTTATATATAATATGTATATTTTTAAAAATGTTTAGGTTATGAAAGATTATTTCATTTTACTATGAGCAAAAATTCACATTAAATTTATAAATTATCTATAAAAAAAAACAAAATTCACCTACTCGCTAATTTTTTTAGGTTAAAATAATAAAAAAGACTTCTGAATTTTGTCATTTTATTTAAATAAATCTTTAACTTTTAATTTATTCTATTTTATCTAAATAAATTTTTAACTTTTAATTTACATCAAAATAAGCCATTAACCTTTAATTTGTATTTGAATATATTTTTTTTAATTTGTAGCTAAATAGGTTTTTAATATAAATAAAATTTTATTTAAAGTGTGCAAATGAAAATATAAGATTTTATTTAGGTAAAATAAAAGTTTAGGGGTTTCTTTAAATAAAATTAAATAATTCAAAAGTATTTTTAGTATTTTAACATTTTTTATAATCACTGTTATTATTTAAGCTATTCCTAAAAAAGTAATTACTATATAAATATAAATAAAAAATTATGTTGAACATTTTTTATCATCACTATTATTATTTAAGCTATTCCTAAATATAAATAAAAAAATTATGTTTCAGGGACTTGAACTCGGGTCTCGCAGTTGAAAACGAAGTATCGTATCAACTAAATTAAAAGATTTAACGGAGACTGCTAAAAATTTAATCATTTTGTTGGTTTTTGAGATTGGCAAGCAGGGTTTAATTTGTTTCTCCAAGTTTTTCACACTCTGCTTCCCTATCCGTTGCAACACTTTTCGGCTCGACCAAACTTAGTACTTTGAGACATCTCCAGAAGGGTATGTCTTTTTATCAATATTTATCTTTCACAAGCGTTACTTTTCACTAAAATTTTCTATGTTCGATTTGGGGTTCTAAATGCTTACTGGATAACACTAAATGATCTGGGAACTGTTGGTTGATTTATTCTTACATTTATTTGGGCTTGAATTTCTCAATTTATGTGGCAGAGTTAATTGCTTTATAGCTGTGGTGAAGATAAAATTGCAATCTTTCTTGGGATTGTAGCTAAATTGCTGTTGAGTTGATAATGGGTTGTTTTTCTGATTTGCGTTTTGGTTATATATTCTTAAGGGTTTTCAAGCTGACCTATTGATTGGGTTATAAGAAAAGGAAATGAATTGTTCTTTTTAGATGTTTTCAAGGAGGATGAACGAATGAATTCATTTTAGATTCAAGGTAATGGACCATACTGTTTACTTTAACAGAGAATGTTTGTAGCTAATAGGAAAAGTTAGTTTTCCCATTCTTGAATCCACCAACGTAAATTGATTATGAATATTGAGGAATTTGATAACACGATTGTGCTTTAAATTTCTCAACTATATGCACTGTGGAATATAAAATAGCGAAAACTGAGATGTTTTTGAGAACCATGTTTGCTCTTCATTACTGTTTATCCTGGATAGTTGTTTAATGTAAAATAGGCATGGTAACTTTTATTTTATTCTTTATTCAATTCAAGTTGCCATCTAATGTGAGTGATTTGACGTTGTCGGTTGCAGCTGTTAACCCTTGATCTTTCATAGTATTTTTGTGGACAATAGGCGACTGAGGTATTACAAAAAATGAGTGTCTCTGGACTGACTGGCGCTACCTCACAATTTTTCCTTAGGCTACCTGACTGCAATCAAGGGTTGGCATGCAGGCAAACTTCAGCAATTCCAAGTGCTGGCAAACCTAAGAAAAAACTTGGCGAACTCCTTCTTGAAAGGTATTGCTTGAGTAACATGAACTAGCAAGCTTTTAGTTTGGTCGTCTGATGTCATGGTCTTTTTCCTGTTGTGGTGCAGAAGTGGTTGGACCATTTCTATTCAAAAGTGGAAGACACAGAAAACTCGGTTGATAAAATGTGCAATGGATGCTTCCTTTGGTGATATGGCAAGTGAATCACCTGGTAATATTCATTGCTTGACCTAATGGACATCTTATCTTTTTGGGCTTTTCTGTTGGTTAGCTTTGAATAAGTACAGATGCTATGCTAATTGAGATACACTTAATTTTTTGTTAGGATTGATAATTGAAGGCAAATCCGTAGTAAGCATATATCTAAGTTAGTGATAGCTGATTTTAAACTTAAGATCAAATATATATATTTTTTACAATCTGGAAATACTGTAAGCTCAACATTAGCATAGCCTTTGTTCACTGAGCATGACCCTAGTTTAACCCTAACATTGTTGGTATGTTAATAGGCTTGGAATATACTGGGAGCCTACAAATTACCATTTGTTTGTGGAGAAGTTGTTTCACTGAATTGGGCTTTTGTCCTGATTTATTGCTGCTGACCCCATTTTGTTAAAGTATGTTATGCATTTTTTAAGGCATTTACCCAATGTAATTTTTTCTTTATTAGCCTTTGCAGGATTGGTTATCTTTCCTAGAATTAATATTAGGGACCCATACAAACGACTAGGAATAAGCAGGGAGGCTTCTGAAGATGAAATTCAAGCTGCAAGGAACTTCCTTATTAGTAAATATGGAGGGCACAAACCAAGCATGGATGCAATTGAAGCAGCACATGACAAAATAATTATGCAGAAATTCTATGAAAGGAAGAACCCAAAAATTGACATCAAGAAAAAATTCAGAGAAGTTAAACAATCCCGGGTTGTACAGGCTGTCACAAGCAGGTTCCAAACTCCGGCCACAAAGTTCATTGTGAAAACATCCATAGCATTTATAGTGCTAGGAGTTCTCACTATTCTATTTCCAACTGAAGAAGGCCCAACCTTCCAAGTAGCTATATCATTGATAGCTACCTTCTACTTCATACATGATCGGTTGAAGAGCAAAATCCGAGCTCTACTTTATGGGTATGTGATGATATTTCTGGTGTTAACTTAAAATGTGTTATGATGTCCTTGATATTTTGCTCTGAGCCCTTTTTTTCTTTGGTGTTAACTTAAAATGTGTTATGATCTCCTTGATATTTTGCTCTGAGCCCTTTTTTTCTTTCTTTTTTTGAATCTTCCAATAAAATCCTGATTTTATGTTGACCATGATATAGCACTGCTTTATAATTGTCAAAAAGATGGATTTTTCAAACCCCATCCTTCTAACTATATCAATTATTAGCCAACTATTTCATTTCATGATTTCTTCCCTCTTCTAAATGCATTTGTGAAATTTCTTTGCTAATTGCTATTGACCAGAATTGCTAAAACATTAACAGGTTTATTAATCAATTTGCTTCTGTACGGCAGGGCTGGAGCTTTTATAGTCTCCTGGTTGGTGGGAACCTTCTTGATGGTATCCATAATTCCACCTATTCCTATTCTTAAAGGACTGAGGAGTTTTGAAGTGCTAACGTCTTTGGTAACCTATGTGCTACTCTGGGTTTCATCTACTTATCTTAAGTAGTGCTAAAGCACCAGGTTTCTGTTATTGTAGACCTCCCAATTTTCATGTAGTGGGCAGCACAAGATTTTCTTGGTAGTGACTTATTGATCATATTATATTAGCACATGAGGGCTGTGTCATGTCATAGTTCTACTTTTGGCATTGATACTAGTTGTTATGCTTAACGTATTGGTCAAAAGCATAGCTTGAAAAAAAAAAAAAAGATTTGTGGATAAATTTGTTTGTTGTCCGGTAAAAGATGTAAAACTTGATCAAAGTAAAGATAGGTTGCTGATTTTGTGAATTGTGGTTTCTTACATGTTTTTTCTTCCTTTTTGTTCTTTTCTTCCGTCTTTGCGACAAAGGTTCTGAATCAATATGGAATCTTTCGAGCATGAAGACAATTTGCTTGCGGGGTTGGATGGGTAAGACAGTGAGAACTTCTATGTACTTAATTTGAATCACCTGAGGTCTAAGATGCCCTGGAGATTGAGCGGTTGAGAATACCCTCGTGGTTGCTCTTCAGTCTTTTGAGGTTTTTTAGTTACAGAGTGCCTGAATCTGTCCACAATAGTTCCCGTATGTCTTTTTGAGGAGATTTTCTCTTCTTCGCAATCTGTGGTGTCTGTATATTTGTTTCTTTAGTTACATTTTCCTTATGCATACAGCTGCCAGATCTTTTGACTATGGGACCATCGATGTTACAAGTAATCGTTGGGTATAATTAAGCTCACTTCTGCAGCTTGAGGTGATCAGTGAGTCAAGCACTGATTTTTTTAACCTCTTCCCCTTTCAATTGCAAGAGAATTGATTGACAACTGTCCTCGATAGAAATATTTGCATCTTGTCTTTAGGGTGCAGAATTAGTGGCCACTGGCCAATGCCTATGGTTAACTTCAGGCTCCCTCTTGCTTTGAAATAAACAGAAGCCACAGGAATGGGTATATTGTGCATACAAAATGCGTACTTGAAGCAATGGGACTACTTATTACCTTAGTCTGCCATTTATTGACTCCAAACTGGATTTCTTATTCTAAAGCTATTGAATGCATTAAATGGGTTTCGAGCAGGGAGGTTATTTGCTGGTTCATAGCCTCGACATTTTTTAAACAGAAAAAAAAAAAATATATATATATATATATTTAAATTGTTGACAACTTTTTTCACTAGTCAAGTTGCTGTCTGCATCTTGCCTTTTGGGTCATTTTCCCAATGGCCGAAAGAAAAAAAAACACAAAAAAGGATCAATCAGCTCCAAAAATGTCAGGGTTTTAGCACTGATTCCAATTATTTCTGATTTTACAAATTTTAGAAAATTCAACTTTCTACTCCAAGACAAGGTTTAGTTGCCCCACCTCATCTCAGCCACTCCTCTGCCAAACCAACTTGCCAAGTAACCATCCCTCATGTCAGTCGGTGATTGGCCTATGTGTAACAGCCCCAAACAAGATTTCCCTTGGCAAGGACTAGGAACTATAAATTAGAGAATTAGAGCAAAAAGTTTGCGAGTTAAAAACGCTCAAGGGGAGAGAAAAGAGAACATATTGAAAACTCTAAAATGGCTTCTGCATCTCTCCTCAAGACTTCACCTGTTGTAGACAAGTCCGAGTGGGTTAAGGGTCAGACCCTTTGCCAACCTTCAGTTTCTGTCGTGAGGTGTCACCCTGTTGCTCCCTCTAGACTAACTGTGTGTGCTAGCTCATATGCCGATGAGCTTGTCAGGACTGCAGTAAGTGTTATATAATTGTAACCTCTCCCACCACTTGCTTAAAATATATGTTAATACTAGAATGACATAACAAAAGAGAAATAATGGTCTTTTTAGCAAGTATATTATAAGCTTTTGACAATCAGAAACTGAATTTTCGGAAAAAACAATGGATTTTACTGATATGGAATTGTTGGGTGCATGTAAAAAATTATTGCTTCTCCAGGCCGTGGAATTTTGGCCATGGATGAGTCCAACGCTACATGTGGGAAACGTTTGGCCTCAATCGGGGTAGAGAACACTGAGGCTAACCGCCAAGCCTACAGGACATTGCTTGTTTCAGCACCTGGCCGTGGCCAGTACATCTCAGGCGCCATCCTCTTTGAGGAAACCCTCTATCAATCCACAACGGATGGCAAGAAGATGGTTGACGTTCTTGTTGAGCAGACTGTAGTCCCTGGTATTAAGGTCGACAAGGTAAGAAGTCTCATGCTCCATTCGTGGGGGTAGATGTCTAATGTTGTTTAATGCTAAGTAGTATCTCTTACTAAGGGCTTGATAATATGAACACTGCAGGGTCTTGTTCCACTTGCTGGCTCAAACAACGAGTCCTGGTGCCAAGGTTTGGATGGCCTCGCCCCACGTTCTGCTGCATACCACCAACAAGGAGCTCGTTTTGCAAAATGGTAAGATTTTATCCATTTGGCACTTCATCTCTGAATATTTTAAAGTTTTCCATCAGCATTTCGCCGTTTCCCTTGTGTTACTTATCAATGCAAGAGATATAGAATTATATACGTTCTTCCTGGTGGAAAACTGCTTTCCTTATGTTTATCCTATTATTAAGGACATATTTCCAATTGTTATTTGCAGGCGTACTGTGGTAAGCATTCCCAATGGACCATCTGAACTTGCTGTGAAGGAAGCAGCCTGGGGACTTGCTCGTTATGCTGCCATCTCTCAGGTGAAATGAAGTGAAATTTTATTACAGCAGTGTCTTGGTTACATGTTTTAGCATTAGATAATCTTTTGATGTTTGGTCATGCAGGACAATGGATTGGTTCCAATTGTTGAGCCGGAGATCTTACTTGATGGTGACCATGGAATTGACAGGACTTTCGAAGTAGCCAAAAAGGTATGGGCTGAGGTTTTCTTCTACCTTGCCCAGAACAATGTGATGTTTGAGGGTATCCTCCTCAAGCCAAGCATGGTTACTCCCGGTGCAGAGTGCAAGTGTCAGGCCCACCAGCGCGCGCACCCGAAGTTGAAGCCCGCACACCAGGGACACTGGCGGGAGTTTGCGCGCAAGGCTTTGAAGGGAAGGCCAGAACGCCTGCACAGCCAAGGCCTAGCTTGCATGATGCCCGCACCACCTCTAGAAGGGCCCAAGAGGGGAGATGCACAAAGGGATCTTCTAGAAACCCTCAGGATTAGCAGGAGCCTTCTAGTAGATTTGGTTAACCCTTAGAATCAAGAGATAGAATCGTGATTGATTTTAATCTTTATAATTCCTTGATTTTAGCCTTGATACTAGGATTTAGCCATAAGTGTAGTTGAGAGCCTCAACTATAAATAGAGGGCTGCTTCACCCTCATTTGTACATCATCATACACTTTTGTTTCAGTGAATACAAAGCATATTCCAGCAAGCTATCTTGTTTTCCTATTTCTCTCAAACTTGTGTATTCAGCTTCCCATTGTTCTAGTGCCCGCACGCTGGTGTTTTAGGCTGACTTATGCTAGAATTAGGTGATTCTAAGCCTAAGACCGTACGGATTCTGAGTCTAAGATCGAAGCCCGTGATAGTTGGTATCAGAGCAAGTTTAGTTTTGTGTGTTTGTGTTGTTCAGGTTAGATCACAGTCAAAGAGATGGCATCCCAGAGTGATGTTGCTAGCCAACAACCAGAGGTCCAAGAGCTGGGGGGTGGAAGAGGCAAGAAGGCCAATTCAAGAGATATCTGGTCTACCATGGATGGTAGGCTGGCCAAGGTAGAGGTGACCATGGGTGACATGAGGGAGAAGCTTGAGGAGGTAGAGACTCGCGTTAAAGCACTAGACTCCATGGGTGAAGAGCTCCAAGGTGAGTTACAAGCTGCTTTCAATAAAGGCATGGACGCGATCACCCAAAGGAACGATTCTTTGGAGGCTATGGTGAAGACTATGCGCGATGGCATGAAGGCCATGAATAAGAAGATAGAGGAGCTCACCAGCGAGCTTATTGCTTGCAAGGCTGCCATTGGGAATGGCATGTTTATTGGAGCATTTAAGTCCAGGATAGATGTCCCCAAGCCCAAAGAGTTTAAAGGGACTAGGGCGACCAAGGAAGTAGATAATTACCTGTGGGGTATGGAGCAATACTTCCAAGCCATGGGCATGCAGGAAGAGGCAATAAAGGTAAGCACTGTGGCTATGTATCTTATTGATGTAACCTTATTGTGGTGGAAGGACAGGTGTGATGTTGTCAAGCATAGGAGTCCCAAGATTGAAACTTGGGCAGAGTTTCAAAAAGAGTTCAGGGAGCAGTTTTACCCAGAGTATGCCGATGATGAGGTGCGGGCAAAGTTGTGCAAGTTGAACCAATAAAGGGACATAAGAGAGTATTTCTAAAAATTCTCTGAACTGATGCTCTCTGGGTGAGAATGATGCCTTGTTTGCTTTCATGGATGGGTTGAAGCCGTGGGTGAAGCATGAGCTACAATAGAGGGAAGTTCATGACTTGGCTAAAGCCATGACTATTGCTGAGTCCTTGATAGAGTTTAGACCACTGAACAAGCTTGAGTCTTTCAAGCCCAAAGGCAAGGGCAAAGACAAGAGGGACCGAAAGAAGCAGTCCAAGGGGAAAAACTGTGACCAGGAGTCCAAAGATGGGGATCGAGATTGTTCAACAAGAATGGCGAGAAGAAGCCACCGACAGGCAAGTGAAAAATTAAGGGGGAGTGAAAGCCACACATGCTACCTATGTTGAAGGAGCCACATAGCACGTAATTGCCCACAAAAGGGCAAGCTGGCTGTTGTAGACAATAAGTCTGACAATGAGCTAGAGGTAGAGGCAGCAAAGCTTGGGTCATTGGTGCTCAATGTTATCCATAGTAAAAGGAACTGCAAGTCAAAAGGTTTGATGTTTACGGATCTGATGGTTACGGGTCAGAAAATGAGTATACTAGTGGACACAGGTGCCTCACACTTATTTATTTCAAGTGATGAAACTCAAAAGCTCGGACTAAGGGTGTAAAAAGAGATTGGTACCATCAAAATGGTGAACTCCTAGGAGGTTCCAACCATTGGAGTAGCGCGATGAGTGGAGTTACAGCTTAGAGACAGAAAAGGCAAAGAGACCATTAAGGTAATACCCCTTGACGACTATGAGTTTGTGATTGGGTTGGATTTTCTTGTTCAAATTAATGCCCTCTTTGTGCCTTTTGCCAATTGTATTTGCATCCTGGATGCACGATGCCAATGCCTAGTACCATTGAGGTGAGGGTCCAGAGTTGGGTCACGGGTGGTGTTAGCCATCCAATTTGCCAATGTGGTAAGTAGAGAAGAAGACACCTTCTTGGCAGCCCTAAAGCATGAAGAACCAAGAGAGAAAGAGATCGAGTCATCGTTGGAGGTGTTAAAGACCTTTAGTGATGTGATGCTCGCGAAGTTACTTAGCCAACTACCACCTAAAAGAGAGGTGGACCATAAGATCAAGTTGGTGTTTGAGGCTAAGCCACTAGCTAGAGCCTCTTATTGAATGTCCCCACTAGAGTTAGAGGAGTTAAGGAAGCAACTTAAAGAGTTAATTGATGTTGGCTTCATCAGGCCATCGAAGGCACCATATAGTGCACCGATTCTATTCCAACGCAAGCATAATGGGTCGTTGCAGCTGTGCATAGACTACTGGACTTTGAACAAGCTGACCGTTAAGAACAAGTATCATATCCCACCATTACAAACTTGTTCGACCAACTTGGGAGGGCAAGGTGGTTCACCAAGCTGAATTTGAGGTCGAGCTACTACCAAGTCAGGATCGCCGAGAGAGATGAGCCTAAAATAACATGTGTCATTTTGTATGGTTTGTATGAGTTCTTGGTCATGCCATTTGGACTCACGAATGTCCCAGTAACATTCTACACCCTTATGAACAAGGTACTTCAGTCGTTTTTTGATCGATTTATTATGGTTTATTTAGATGACATTGTGTGTAGACCACTTAAGGTAGGTGTTCGAGGTGTTAGGGGTGCACAAGTTGTTTATCAAGAGGAAAAAGTGCTCGTTTACCTAGCAGAAGATCCCATTCCTAGGCCTGTCATGCCCTGAATCGAGGCATAACACGGCCGTATTACCTTAAAGAAAACTTTAAAGTAATACGAAGCCTT